GATGGATGGATGGATGGATGGATGGATGGTGAAGGAGGAGACCATCAAACAGCAGGAGTGGTCAGTTCAGGTGAACTCCTGCCTGTTTGCTTCAGATCAGCTGTTCAAATCTCTGCAGGTTCAAATAAAAGGTGCACCAGGACTTTCAGCTGAATCTCTCAGGGGTCACAGTTGTACGGCCGATAAACGATAACTGATAAATGATAACTGATAACTGATAAATGATAACTGATAACTGATAATTGATAACTGTCCTTTCTGAATTTTTGACTGTTTTTGTCTCACTTCATCCTAGAACAAAACATTTATAATAACAGTTGAGCAGATTCTGGTAATCTTCTCTTAAGATTCATTAAAGATCAAATGCAATTGGAAATTCTTCTCAACTTCCAGTATGAATTTAAACAAACACTATATGAACTTAACATTGTAAAATTTGTTTAGGAAATTTAATGTTCAAGGACACCACTTAAGAAAAAAATTGTTTAATAGGAAAAGTAAGAAGTGAAAAATGTAGAAAAATAAAAACTACTGCGTCCAACTAATGATTGTGTATCTGTGTGTCCCTTGTCTCACGGGCTTCATCCAGAAGAAGACACAAGTGTTGTTCCTGCTGTGTCCGCTTCAGTTCTTCATGTTCATTCAGTGATGAAATAAGACTTTTCTTTACTGGACTCTTTTCTCTTTCTCTTCACTAGAAAGAAGAAAAAGGTGGTTAATTCAAGCTACATACTGTTTTTGAATAAATGCAGAAAACAAAGAAAGGTGCTGCTAACAGCTATAATAGATATATTAATAATAATAAACTGATAAAATAAGAAAATGAAAAATAAATTTATTTAAAAATAATGAAAACAATATAATAATAACAGTGGATATATGAATCAGAAAGTATTATACAGATATTCTTTATTGTCATTCGCACCTCATGTGGTACATGTGGTGGATCAAAATTATGTTCACAGGGTCCCAGTTACATCCAACAATAAAATGTAAAAGAAAAACAGTAATAAGATCTAAGATATGAACTAAGAAAAACATCAACTAAAAATATGATAAGCACTAATAGCATAAAAACGTTGGTTACGTACTGTAACCCCAGATTCTATGAGTATAAGCGTAGCCCTTTAAGGCTTTCGCTTAGTGGGTTTATCCCGTTATGCGAAGCATTACACTGAAAAATTTAGTCCACGCCCACCTGCTGTGTGGGCCCCACCCGGTCCGTATAATTTACGGCAACAGCGGGAAATCGGCTCCCAAAAATAGCTTAAAAAAAAAAAAAAAAAAAAAAAAAAAAAAAAAAAAGCTTAAAGGGCTACGCTTATACTCATAGAATCTGGGGTTACAGTACGTAACCAAAGTTCTATTTCGTATAAGCTTCGCCCTTTAAGGCTTTCGCTTAGTGGGTTAAGGGCGAAGCAGATGTGGTCCTCCCCTTCATTGGGTCCATTCGAACACCGTATGAAGCAGAAGCTTGCCCAAAAAAAAAAGTCTAATCACTCAGCTCCCATGTGCGTAATTACGCATTGCGTAATTATGTGTGCCATGCACAGACGCATGTTGTGTAACTATGCATTCTGAATGCATGAACGCCCCGGAAACATCAACAGGGAGGGAAAAAAAACGCTGAAAAGAGCCATGAACCAACCGGTTTACGGCTGAACCGTATGAACAGATTAATAATAACAA